ATTTAGCGCTATCCGAGAACTTCAATACCTCTCCGTTAAGTCGAGGAAGACGAATCAAAGGGATCTTGTATTTTCCGGAGGATAGCACAAGTCCCATTTTGCTAGGATTTACACTAAGACCACATTTAACGCTCCATTAGCTTATGATCTTTAGTGCTTGTTTTAACCTTTGAGACAAGATTTCAAGATGATTGCAACTGTTTTTAAGACAAGAGAATCTAGCTTTACCAGAAGGCCGTTGATGACCATATTCCATAAGAGCTCTAAGTGTGTCATCTAAAGAGGATTCAATGATCCTCTTTGAGATAGAGATTGAAAGATTGAAGCAGATTTAATGTTATTAAAAGCGCCCTCTATGTTAAGAAAAGCGACCAATGTATAATTTCCACACTCCACGGATATTTCAATATATCCGACAAGACTAAGAAGAGCCGTCTCAACAGATTTACACTTTGTGTATGCATGTTGTTAGGTAGAGAGAAAATATTTATCGATCGAGGTCCTTATATAGATATCGATTATCCTTTCCAATGTTTTCAGAAGAAAAGTGTGAGAATTTTTAGCCCCATTGGGAAAAACAATCAAATTGCACTAGGTCGATTAAATAGGAATGTAGGACCAAGAAAGTGTATATGTACATACTGAATTTAGAAGGGAGTTAGTTGGATCGCCTATTGAAATACAATCGGGAAAGTGAGTATTCAGGAGAAGCTCTACGGTCTCCTGATTAGCTGAAGTCCAGTTACCGTCCACTTTCTGTATGTAGCTAGGGACAGAATTTTACTAAGACGACTGTTTTCGGAAGAGCTTTCAATATTGCTATGAATTCCGTAGCAATACTAAGAGAACGTGCAATCCAGCTAAATCTGCCATCATCTCCCAGTTTGTTTTTCTTCTACTCAGAAATGGTTTTGATGCTTTAACGTGGATTACTATATCGAAGTCCAGGCAGCAATATTCGGAGAAAGAGCAGTCTTCGATGTCATTCCACCCTTTCCAGAACATCATTTAGTAGTTTTTGGCCAGAATACAGCCTCTAATATTTTTAATATTACCAGCAGAGTTAGGATACACTAGTTAATAATCTCTGAGAGATAGTTCAAGGATTTTGCCGTGGTGGGTCCACGGATCTTGGACCAATATAAGCTCCTCCCCATTCTCAGCCATCCGGAGGAGAAAAGCAGCTGATGCTGCTCTGAAATGTTGAAGGTTAATCAGAGTTACCTTCACCATCACCAAGGTCAGAACACGACGGTTACGTCGTCAGGATCAGAATCCTTAGAACTATCTTCGCCCTCGCTATTTTCAGACTTCCAAAGAGATCTTCCGTTAAACACGTGGTTGACTGGGAATCTTCTTGGTTTTCTGAACCAGAGAGATCGTCGGCATCAGGATTTTACTCCTAGGGCGGAGCCTCTGGCCTGGCACAAGAGGCGGCGGCGCTGCGTTTGGTATCGCTACAGTAAATACGGAAAGTGATACTTTCAAAACCATAGTATACTTTACCTCCGCATTCACGTAGTGGCGCCAAAGTTTCTCTGTTCAGGACAACAGTCGCCTTTCTGCCAGTTCCTATCGGGGCGGAAACCTTCACCACCTTCCAATCTTGGGTAGGTAGATGAGGATTCCTGCGTTGAATGAATTTTTAATAACTCAAATAAATTTTAACTTATTTTTGTCTTGTTTATCTTTTGGCGATGCTCAGGCTCTTACACTAAAAATAATTCGTACTATATTTCTCAACTTTCATTTAAACGAATTTTCAAAAAATGTAACGGTCAAATATTTTATACAACACAGCACTTATCAACACTGTAATTTATAATCGTTCTGTTTCACTTTCAATATAAACACCAATGTTAGCATCTTTTATTTTGTATATTTATGTTCTTTCAGTTGTTCAATAGCTAACTAATATTTAAAAATATGAAGGATTAATAGCAATATTTACAATAAATTTAAACTAAATTTTAGTTAAAACTATGTGATGGCCTTTCTTCAACACTTAAAATCGCTAAATTTCAAAAACAAAATAAGCATTAACTTCACTGTTGCTTTGACACATGTTTTGTTTATTTACATTTCTCATCGAAAGGAAAAAAACACACAGCTGATTGATTAGATGCCAGCGTTTAGAGAAAAAAAAAAACTAAAAACAAACAGGAAGCAACAAAAACAATGCACTAATAGTCACACAAGAATTCATGGTCGTTGACGAAAGTTTTACCTCGCTCTTGAAAGAAAATTCAACATAATCGTTAGGCCCGCGTATTTATGTAATATGTTAAAGAAAATCAGTTGACAATAAATTTGCAAATTAAGAATTAAATGTACAATAATTGTAAAAATTCTACGAGAAATAACTAACGTTATATAAATATTTTGGTTGTGTAAACTAGTGGTGACGTAGTATGTCAAAATGTTCACCTCCAAAATAGTAGTACGTTTTGTGGGTTCAGCTTTAGAACAACAACAACATATTATATTGTTGGCTGCCAATGGACAACATGCATCGAGACGTTTTTTTACACCTATGCAGGTGTATGAGAAGAAAGTCGAAGAAAAGCAATTAATGCCCGATAAGGCTCAAAAGAACACTGCCCAGCAATTGGAAGAGTTATATAATACCCTCAAGGATTATAAGCCAACGCCTGTAAAGTCAGCGGCTCAAGGTGGAGGTGGTTTCTTTAGTAAATTGCTGAAGAAGGAAAAAACTGGCAGTAGTTCAATTCAGCTGTTGAATACAGCCTCACCTAAAGGTTTATACATTTATGGTAGTGTGGGCGGTGGTAAAACTACCTTGATGGACTTGTTCTATGATTGTTGCACAAATGTGAATTAGTAAAGCATTAACAATTTAATTCTGAAAACTAATTATATTATTTTCCCTAGATCGACAAAAAACAACGTGTCCATTTTAATTCCTTTATGTCTAAAGTGCACGGCCGCATTCATCAGGTGAAACAGGAGCGTGGACCAAGAGATCGTGCTTTTAATACCGAAAAACCAGAACCATTCGATCCTACATTGCCGGTGGCAGAAATGATTGCTGCTGAATCTTGGTTGATTTGTTTCGATGAATTTCAAGTCACCGACATTGCCGATGCAATGATATTGAAGAGCTTATTTACACATCTCTTTAACGAAGGTATTGTTTGTGTGGCCACTAGTAATCGCCATCCGACGGAGTTGTATAAAAATGGTTTACAACGCAGTAACTTTTTACCTTTCATTGATGTTTTGTTAAATCGTTCCAATTTGGCGGCAATGGATAGTGGAGTTGATTATCGTCGCATCGCACAGTCAGGAGATACAAATTATTTTGTGTAAGTACCGAGATTTGTATTAAACTCTGTGAACTTGGCCGTGGTGCTTTTGTTGATAAACAAACATTACTTTTTAATATACTTTTCTTTCTAAACTTTTTTTATCAAAATTTTAGAACAACAAAAGGCGATGCAGAATCTCAAATGGAACGTATGTTTAAAATTTTATGTTCACAGGAGAACGATATCATTAGACCTCGCACAATTACACATTTCGGACGCGATTTAACATTTCAACGTACCTGTGGTCAAGTTTTAGACAGTGATTTCGAAGAACTTTGCAATCGTGTAAGTATTTTAAAAATCAACACAAATCGATGGTATAACTAATTATAAATTTAAAGCCTTTGGGTGGCAGTGATTATATACAAATTGGACAATTCTTTCACACGGTGCTGATTCACAATGTTCCACAATTGACCCTACAAATGAAATCACAAATGAGGCGTTTTATAACACTAATCGATACACTTTACGATAATCGCGTACGTGTGGTGATATCGGCAGAAGCTCCACTCGATAAATTATTTAATTTTAGTGATAAACCCACAGACATTGCCGATGATCAACGTATGTTAATGGATGATTTGAAATTGGGTGCTGTAAGTTAACAATTTTGTTAAGTTTAAATACATTTTCACTTATTATTTCTATTGTAATTGCAGCAAGATACATCAGCTAGTGTTTTCACTGGCGAAGAGGAAATGTTTGCTTACGATCGTACTATTTCTCGTTTATACGAAATGCAAAAGAAAGAATACTGGGAGCAATGGGCCAAACATAGATAATTGGTTTTTGTCTATGTCAGAGGACTACTATTTTTAGCAAAAATAGTTAACATTAATAGCTTTCAATGGGTCACAAATTACTTTTTAGTACTTAACAAGTAACAATGGAAAAATGGTTAAATTATTAAAAAAACTGTGTATGTTTCCAAAAAAGTTTGTAACATTATTTTTATGTATGTCCACGATTTAGTACAATATTATTTAATTTCAATTATGTTCCATTATTTTATTTATAGCAACAACTATAACTTTTAAAAATAAAGTTAATAACAGCAATAAAGAAAAAATCACAGCAATTTTTTTCAGTTTTATTTTAAAATATTCTCAATCAAGTGCTAAACCAGGTTAAAAAGAAAGCTAAAATTTTATAAGTTCAAATTAAATTTAATAAATTTTTTGGAAATGGTGGCCTCAAATGAAACTTAAATTATGTTTTAGGAATAGTTTCAAACATGAGTTCAAAATTTCGAAATATATTTAATGAATAAAATCATTGTTATTTTAAATGATGTCATTCTAATTTTGCCGCAACTGTACCCAGCTGATCTACTTTTTTTTCAAATACATATGTTTATGCAACTTATATTTGTCTCTTTCTTGTTAAAATTGTTGACAAGATCATCTACTTTCAAAGACCCAATTGGAATTGTTTCTATATTAAAACATAAATAGGAACTTTTGGAGTTGTAATTCAGGTCTGAGTTGGGGAACAACTCTCTCGTCATCGTTTTTATTTCTTAAGGACGGTCAGGCCAGTGCTTGTTGCCGAGCTTTCCACAGAGTTACTTCTCCTCCCGCTCTAATTTAATGCATTACCTCGTATAACTGTTTCTAGTTATGCGTTGTCTTCATTAAAAGAGTGCTTTCGTTTTACCTGAGTGAGGTTATGTATTAAATTTCCAATTGGGTCTTTAGAATTTATTTATTTTTTGATATGAATGCCAATAAAAACAATATTTTTATAAGATTATTAACCAAAATTTATACATAAGTATGTATATTTACTCTATTTACAATTAAGCGTTAATATAAAATTATCAAATCATAAAGTTATATTCAAAACTCGCCATGAAAACTAATAAAATCCTGCCGTTTGGTATGTAAAACTCTTCTAACAATAATAATTTCAAGTAACCCATATTTAAAATTTAATTACAGACAATACATTACTTAACATTACCATTTCACTTAGACAATTGGAAGAAATCTCTAAAGAGATTTCATCGCGTGGCCAAGTCACTGGTTTAAATGAAGTTGTTTGGGCTTTAAAAGCACTCACCCTTACCGATTTGACTACATTGGCGGGTGATGATACCCAGGCTAATGTTGCACGCCTTTGCCATAGAGCTGCTTATCCCTTTCCACTACATTTAATAGAAAAAACCATAGAAGAGCCTTTGCACAAACAAATTCATACAGGTGCAGTTTGTGTTTATCCAGCACGTGTAGCTGATGCACGCAAAACATTCGAACAACTTAAGTGTTACGAAGAAATTCCTATAGCTGCTGTAGCCACTGGTTTTCCTACGGGTCAGTATGGTCTTAAAACACGTTTAGATGAAATAACATTTGCCATTGAATCGGGCGCTCGGGAAATAGATATTGTTATTAATCGTCAATTGGCTTTGACCGAACAGTGGCAGGCTCTGTACGATGAAGTGTGTAAAATGAGAAAGGCATGTGGAGAGAGGGCACATATGAAGACCATTTTAGCTATCGGTGAATTGGGTTCAATGGAAAATGTAAGTTGAATATGTACAAATATTAATCAGTCTCCTTATAAACAAAAATCAGTTTGTCATGAATAAATCTCCTAAAAATATCGAAATTGAGTGAAAATAATACATATGTATATTAATTACGCCATCAAATTCTGTACAGTTCATTCCATAATCGACCCAAGCCTTCTTTTGATATCGGTATCTGAGAGACTTCTATATGAGTTTAACAACATTAATCACTCCTCCTATTTCGGATTAACTCAGTTAAAAAAGGAAAATATTAGTTATAAAACTAAAAACTTGTTGCACTCTCTTTCAGGTCTATAAAGCATCCATGGTTTGCATGATGGCTGGAGCGGATTTCATTAAAACCTCCACCGGCAAAGAATCGGTTAATGCCACTATACCAGTAGGTTTAGTTATGATCTGGGCTATTCAAGAATTTCTACGTAAAACTGGGCAAGTAGTTGGTTTAAAACCGGCCGGTGGAGTGCGTACTGTACGCGAGGCAATAGCCTGGATGACTTTAGTAAAAGAAACTTTGGGTATACAATGGCTGCAACCAGCACTCTTTCGTTTTGGAGCCTCTGGTCTATTAGATGACATTGAAAAGGTAGTGCGTAAAGGCTTGGCGGGACAAGATATACAAACAGCTGCTGCATCATATTAAAACGAATTTATACAGTAATAAATGCATTTATGTAAATAAAATCTAACAGAACACTTACTTTTGACCATTTATCTATTGTAAAGGAAACATTTAAGAGGATTTATTATTTGGACTTTACATTGTACATTTTAATTTATTTATATATACATAAGTTATTGACTTATTAAGTTCAGTTTTAAATACTCTAATACTCTAATTTAAAATCTCCTTAAATTTGTAAATTGTGTTATTAATGGTATTTGTAGAGCAGCAGCTGCTATTAAATCCTCCTCTCCTTGACTGCCGTAATCATCATTTTGGCTTTCGACTTCGGTCGTAGATTTATCTAATTTATTCGTTCTATCGGGTACTTTCATGTCTACCGCAAAGAAAGTATCATCAAAATTTATACGATTGCGTTCATCGTTTATAAGGTAAACATCTTTGGGAACATTAACCGATTGTTTATTGCTGGGAGAAGACAATTGCTTTTCATATGCATTCAACCATTTGATATTGATGTGTTTGGCAGATGCATTAAACTTTTTTGGTAATGCTTTCTTGGGTTTAACATCATAAAAGTTTTCTTGACTTTCGCCCTCTTTAGGCAGAGGTGGTGGTGTGAAATGTTCCATTTTACGGCTCTTTTCATCCAGTTTGGTGTGTTGAGCATCGCTTTCATCGTAATCAAAGAGTGGTAAATAAAAGTTAAAGGGTTGATTAGCGGGAGGCTGCATAAATTGTATGGGTACGGCGACTTGTTGGATCTCTGCCGTTGGCGCATCAGAGCGTTGAAGATTATTGGGTTTAAATATTTCGCTTGCTTTTCTCAACAACGCTTCTAAACGTTCAATTGTTATAACTTCAGGCTGTATGAAAGGTCCTTCGTTGTGCGACTTTTTATCTTCAATTGGCTTTACTCCAGGTGGTAATCCATTAATTATATCCACAAATAGAAAAATTAATATCTAAACAACAAAATATTTCACTTTTATAAATTTATTAATAGGATTATTTAAAATTTTATTAACTCACTGTTATCACTTTTTTAAACATTTTGTTTTAATTTTTTATAAAACTTTCTTTTTTTCACTATTAATACGTCTATTTAACTCAAATGTAATGCACTTGTATGGCTTGCAAAAACTAAAGTAGATCTTGATGTAATCGTCAGCTACATTTATACCAGAAAATTGGTGCTGTGCCGTAATGTTTAAACGGAAGCTCGGAAGTCTCTGTAAACAACCAGTAACATCACAAATGCAGCGAAAATTTATACAAGAAAGAAAATATTAAATGAAAAAAAAAGAGTCAACTTAAGCAAAAACTAGTTCCACACTGAAAACCAACCGGTTTTTTTTAAAGAGATTTTCCATTTCTCAGAAAAAAAATTAACAAAACAATGAAACATTCAAATACATCCAATGTTAGGAAAAATAAAAAGTCCATTTGAATGTAGTATGTTGCGTATACAAGATATCAATAATAATCATGTTAATGTAACAGCAGCATTTGAAGCTACTGCAATTTGCTGCAACATACAATGACGACGATGTTGTTGGAAAAATTAAAGAAAATTAAATTCATAATTTCAACTTCAGCTTACAAGTTGATACATATTTGTGTCTTAAGACGTAGGTGCATGTTGTAACCCGTTTTTCTGCAATTTTCTCTCTTTCTTTGATAGATATTCATACAATATTTAATCGTATGTGTGTAATGAGTTCAATTTATATGCCGTACTATTGCAAAACTAATTGTGTGTAAAATATTTTTAACAAATAGAAAATTGTCGTTTAACTAAGTAACTAAATGAAAAGTGAATTTGAGTTTTTCTGATTATTGCAGCTAAAGTTTATTGACATTAATATTGTGAGATTGCATGTTGAGGATGTGAACCTGTTTCTTTCCTAGTATTGTTGTTAGTTATAACAAAGACAAGTTCAAAGTTATTTGCAGATTTGAGATTACTGATTTACATTATATGCAAAGCTGTTTTATTTTTAAGCGGAAACGTATGCGAAATATTCAAATTATAAATTATTCACACACTTAATAGAGAACTCAAAAAACTGGATACTTTATTAAGAACAAAAAAGAATTGCTGGTTTTAGAATAGTTGTATATTTGCTGATGAAGAGCTCTCTATATTAGAACGGTAATAACACTTTTCGTGATGAACTCTTTGTTTAAAAACCATAACAACAATTTTCATAACTTTTTGTTATATTTGTGATTACATACTTATAGATAATTAATAACCACACAAAACGTATAAAAATTACTTAAAAACTTAACAAGGTCTGTATTAGAATTTAACCTCTTACCAATTCTGGCATACCATCGATAATTATTTGCAATGCCTTTAAATCTTTTGTTACGGTATCAGTAAGAACTTCCATAGCTTTTTGTTGCATACCCAAAAAGGTTTTCATTTCTTCTTCACAATCTTTGTCAAGTGTGTATTCACTGCCGGATGTTAAAGCATATTGATTTCGTTGCATACGCATTTGCGAAAGTAGTTCACTAAGACGACCCTAAAGTTGAAAATCATTTAAAATGTATGTCATACACAATATGTAGATGAAAACTTACTTTAAACTGTGTGGGAGCTGAAACTAATGCCTGCATATTTTCTAATTTCGTGCGCAAAGCTTCTTCCTCGGGCGTTAAGGCTAATCCCACTTTTCGTGTACATTCCTGTTTAACTATTATCTGTAAAATAATTTGAAATAAATAAGACATTTGATTTATATACTGATGTGCATACCTTTAAAATTTTATGACTTAATTCAGCCAAATTACGCTTATATTCCATTATTTTTGCAGTGGCCGCGGTGTGGCGTTGTCGTAATTCAGATAAGTCATTTTCCACTTTACGCAAATATAATGCATGCATTTCTGTTTCATTTTCCTGGCATTTTATACGATACTTAAGTTCATTAAAACCAATCATAGGTACTGGTATAAACTTCGCTGCATCTGGATTATCAAGTTTTGCTTGACACCACATACGGGGATCTATACCTTTAGGAGGATTTTTCAAATATTCTTTAAGCTGATCCTCATCCGGCAGCACAAGTGCCAAAATCTCTACTATACCCAAATTATTAAGTTGCCCCTTGACATTAGGCTGATTTAAATAGTTGGCCAAATCTGTAGCTAAAATACGTTTTGTGTCGTTCGGAGATAATTGCGATTTTTCTTCCAAGTATATAACAAGTTGGCATTTCTTCTCCTCGCTTTCTTTACTTGAGTCTATGTTTACTAATAGATTTGGTTTATTGCCAAATGCAGCGTTCAAAGTATTAATAATTTGTTGTTGTTGATTTTTAACTTCCGCAAGTGATTTGTTAAAATTTAACGCCACTAAACCCATTTTATTATCCTTGCCGGGTAGCCTACTGTAACCCATTGCTTTAAAGCGACACAAGTAATTTTGTGGTGTTATTTCTACGGGTGCTGCATTTTGTGAATAAAACGATTTACCGGTACCCCACATGGCTTGAAAGTAATTCCATTTGGCAATTATTGCATCACGTTCATCACCATAAATGGATACATTGAAAATTGATTGCGCAAAAGCATCATCAGCTGATATAGGTGGAGCCTGTTGTTGTTGTTGACCCATCATGAAACCAGTATTTCCACCGAACCCTCCAAATCCTGGAGTTACTGTAGTATTGGCACCTGGTTTGCCAAAACCTATTATTAAAAGAGTGAAAGTGGTTGAAATAATTATAGGTGTTTTTTCCGTACTACGGTCTGAACTATAAAATAGCATATAGTCTGTATTAAGGACAGTATATATTTGGACTGAACCATGTACGAGAGCCTAGTATGTAAACCTAGTCTGGACTGGATACCCATAGCCAGGAAAATTAGACTTTAGTGCGGACTACTATACGTTAGTAAACGATGAATTGGCAAGTTTTTACTATAAGTCAAACTATAGTTTGGACTATTAGTCGACTATAGGTCAAACTGTAGCCTAGATTATCAGCCAGGCTGGATTAAAATTCAGACTAAAACCAGTAAATAATATATGTGTATTTTCTTTCAAATAGATTTACGGATAAATTATCATAATTTATTGTTTATTATAAAGCTATGCGCTGTAAAAAATATGAACTTACTTGTACCAAATCCTCCAAAACCACCCGTCGACGTTTGAGCTCCGAAGCCTCCAAATGCTGGTGCAGTCGATGTGGTTGAAGTGGCACCAAAACCACCAAAAGCACCCCCTGGAGCACTTGTCGCTGTTGTACCAAAACCCCCAAAACTAGGAGCCGTAGATGTAGCTGTTCCACCGCCAAATCCCCCAAATCCTGTTGCAGCGGATGTTGCTGTACCAAACAAACTGGGTGGCTGCGAAGTTTGAGCTGCACCAGCACCAAACGAACCAAAGCCACCCAAACTAGGTGCAGTTGTAGTGCTAGTATTCGTTGCGCCAAATCCACCAAAACCTCCTAAAGTAGGGGCTGATGTTGCTGCGGCTGTTGAAGTACCAAAACCGCCAGCACCAAATGCAGGAGTCGTACCGAAACCTGTTTGTGTTGTGGAGGTAGCTGGCGCCCCAAAAGCAGACGTTGTTCCGGCTGCTCCTGTACCAAATGATGAAAATAATCCAGTTGCTAAAATATTGTGATGAATATTGATGATCTTCTTTTAGGGATTTCATAATGTGAATAAAAACTACAAATGTTGGAGAAAAAGAAGCACTCACGTTTTGCCGGTGTACTGGTAGCACCAAGAGAATTGTTTGCTCCAAAGAAAGACATTTTTTAATATATGTTTATTTGCTAATCACTCTATTCAATAATTTTAAACTTCTCTTTTTTATTTTTTTATCAAATTATTTGCATTGTTTATAATTTACTTTAGAAAACAAAAATAATTTGGCGCACACGAAGAATTTACACAAATTTGTATGAAAAAGCGAAAACCTGCGTTGGCAAACAGTAGCGACGGCGGTGTTGACAGCCAAAATTTCGGCAGCGGCTTAACATCGACTGTAAGCCGGCTAAGTATTCAACTGAGTTTTCAAATTTTTTAACGATATTAGAAATTATTAATATGTATGTAACTAACGTGACCGTGAGATTTAATACAATTTAATATAAAATCAAGTTAGTGTGCTTTATTCGCCTATGGCGATTCCATAGCGGAATCTATAACATAGTTTTTTATTAACACGTCTATTGGGTATTTATTAGGGTGATCGACTCGATTTTTCAACCGGTTTTAAAACCGGTCTTTTGCTTTACCAGTGTCGGTTTTTTGTTAATATCGATTTTTCGAATATCGAATAACCCGGTTTTTTCACTTTTTAAAAACTGGTTTCGAATACTTTTATTTGCTTTGTATTCAAAGATTATTTAAATGAAATTTTTAAGTAAATAATAATACAGCCCGTCTAAATTTTAAAAATATTCGAGTCGAAGAACTAGCGTACATTTTTCTAAAGCTCCTTTGGTTAAACTTTTTTGATTTTCCTAATTAATTAAAAAAATTTATTTGTAAAATTGATAACTGTTTGATAAAATTTTATCAATCTTAAGATTATATTCCAATTACAATAATTAATTTACGGCTGAAATTTTATGGAAGTGTTGGAATGCCTATGCAAATTTCCTAAACAGGGCTTTTAAAATAAGCTAGGATTACATAGTACCTTATGTTTAACAGATGTGTCCCACTTTTTTCCTATTTTTTTATATTAAAGAAATAATGTAAATCAGACGACTAGATCTAAAGTTATAATCTTTTAAGCTGTTAAAAATCATTTCGGGCCATGTTTTATTAATCAAATTTAAACATAAACATTAAGTTTTTCAAATTAAAATATATGTTTTTATTTATAATGAAAAACCGGTTAACCGGTTTTTTCTGAATTTGAAAAATATCAACCGGTTTTTTTTAAATGTCAACTATTCGAACTATTCGAAAACCGGTTTTTGGAATATGTCGAATAATCGATCACCCTAGTATTTATAGAAATGTTACGGAATAATATATATACAAAACGGAATCTTGTATATTTTTATGCCGATATCATTACTAATTTATGAGTTATTTACGATTATGTGATTTTTAGAAGAGTGCTTTATAAGGGAGCTATTACCAATAATGAGTCGATTCAGAAAAAAATTATCTGAAAAAATACAATTTATATTAATATAAGATTTTTTTTTGGAATACCTCTGTTATTTCTGAACCGATTTTGCTGAATTTAAATAGAAAAGTTCTTAAAAGCATGTCTGTTAGAATTATTAAAGATTCGGAACTCGCGGGCAACTGGAGTCTTCTTAAAACTAATTTCAACATACATACTTGTTTTATTACTTTTTTAACATTTATTGAATAATAAAAAACATACAAATGTTCCTGAATACGCATTAACGTCATACAAAATGTATTTAGTTTTAGTTATTTTTTAGTTTCTTAATAAGGTGTTGCTTTATTTGACTTTTTCGTTTTGGCCTTTAAGTTGCTGTTACTCGACTTAGACGAGTTTTGTGGACTCCATAGTGTAACTATACCACTTTCGCCAGCAGTTATTAATATATTTGAGTTTATATCAAATACACTTTCACGCACAATTTGTTTATTGCCTTGAAAATCTACACCAGGCAGAAGTTGTTTATTCTGAACCAGCAAAGAGCGCATTATTTCTCTGAAAAAAAAATTGTTTTGAAATTTTATTAATTTGTTATAAATAAGATTTTTAAACATACCCTTTATTGATATTCGAACCAGTTAACAAGAAAACTCCACCATCCGCCATATTGTGACAATCAATTAAATTGCAATTTGCTGGTGTCTTACGTTTTATGCTTTCGGTAATTTTAGCTCTATCAAAATCAGCCACCAGATCAGCTTCTTCGCATTCATACATTTTAAAGTCATTGGTATGTGTTATACATGAGATTATGTCTTTGTCGTAGACATTTTTATGCCTGTAAATTAATGAAATGGAAAATTATTTTCAAACTTCTCATTACCATGGTTAAAAATGTCTTACCAATTTACCTTATGCACACTACTCTCGGTATTAAGAGTCTGCAAGAGAGCATCATCCTCAATTGTTTTTTGTAAATCGAATATATTTATCAAACCATCGGTAGAACCCGAACACAAAAGATCGGGATTTTGTGGATGGAAACGTAAAGTGGTCACATCATCTTGATGACTATCAAAATAACCACCCATTTGTTTACGTTCTCTTAAATCGTAGAATAGCAAATAAACATTACTATGATGTTGTTCCGTTCCCACACATAAAACACGACTATTGGAATTACGATCAAAACAAACAATATTCTTGGGCATAGCTGCTGCTTCGGCCTCAGTTGCAGGATTATTTTCGAAACGTCCCACTTCACCTGGTGTTCGTAAATCGAAAAGTCTTACCAAACCATTTGTTGTTCCAACCAGTAACAAATTGGGAGTCTCATCTACAAAACGTACGCCACAAATGGTAAAACGATTTTTAGGATCAATGCAGGGTGGTGGGGCTATACAATCTGGCGTGGAGTAGCTAAGACCACGTTCAGAACTTATATCGAATAGATGTACCGAACCGTCTGATAATCCGGCTGCCAGGCGTGTTAATGAGCTATAAAAGCATGCAAATTGAAAACATCACTAAGAAATTCAACATTTATAAAACTACTTACTCATTTTTATCCAAACTTAATATATAATTTTTCTTTAATGTCACAGCCGTTTCATCATGTATACGGTATTTTTGTTGGAAATATTGTTCCAATTCAAAACGTGTACAAGTATCGTCATCTTCAATACAGGATTCTTCACTCGATTCCTCATCGCTGCTGGGCAAAGGTACATCTTCGGCATCTATTTAAAGATTTCTTAATGTAAAAATGTATTGCAATGTAAATATTTTAGTTACCTTTAAAGTTATTTGCTGTATTAGTCATTTTTTCTTGCTTTATTTAGTTTTGTTTATTAAATTATTGCACTAGAAATTATTTAATAATATCGAACTTTTCGATAACAATAACAAATATGCAACATGTGCGTTTAGTGATGACATTTTGCTGTTATTGTTTTTTTTTTCAAAAATATCGAAATAAAATACACAAAAAAAATTGTTGGAAGAGTAATACCAAGTTCAAACGGACAGTTGAATTACTTATACCAAGTTCACACGACCAATTGAATTACTTAATTCGGTATATGAATTACAATAATCAATTAACCCGTTTCTACGACATTTATTTATTCAAACAAAGTAATATAAAAGCCTAAATAAATTCATCGATGTTGTTTTTTTAATCATTATTTTGTTATTTTTTGAAATATATGAGTGTGTGCGTCATGCAAAAATACATTTGTTACATTATTTTAATAAATGAAGAAATATATTTTCTATTTATTTGTATTTTTTTCTGTAATTCAATTTTTTATTTGTCCCCAACCAATGAATCAAACAGCTGATTATGATAAATACTCGATACAAATTAGAGATTACATTCATTTATTCGTAATTTGTAGGTAATTCAGAAAAAATAGGTAATGTCGAAATTTTGCATGGGTAATTATGTAATTCAGTTTGTAATTGGGGGTTGGATGACGAATGAGAGCGTAAATGACATACAGATATATTCGTGTTTTTTTTTTTTTTTTTTGCAATTTATGAAAAAATTTTTTGTTCTTTTCATCATTTGCGTTTTAACTTGTTGACTTATTTTCAATGTTTCCCAGCAAATGCAATAAAACGAAGTACTTGCAGCGGAATAACATTTATCACCAATTAAAAAATATCACTAAGTGATTCTTTTTTACCTTGTGTAGAAGTGAGGTTTAATGACTTCCGAAGAAGCGAAAATAATTATATTTTGTCAATGCTGAAGATATTTTCTTTTTAACCCATATATGGGTTAAAAAATTTTATTTTTGGACTTTTGTATTAAATGTGCATTTCCCTTATTAATATTAATACGATTTAATTGTATTAGTTGTATTCTTTAATACTAAAGTTTCACTTGCAAAAAACAACATAAAAATTTCTTCTTGAGAATGTCTTCAGAAGTATTGATTTTGAATTCAAATAACAAATGTCCTTTATTTGAATTCAAATAAAGGACATTCCTCCTATGACAAGCCTGTACTATAATCATCATTTCTGTAGTTTTTTTCAGTACTTCCATAGAGTTCTATTTATTTTTCGCTTCTTTAGAAGTACTTTTTTGGTAGGAATATTTGAATGCAATTTGGGAAAAAACTTCAAATTTTCGATTTTTTAACTTTCCGACTATTTATTTCATTCTGTCAGGATCAAAAGATGTCAAAAATGTCCTTTGAAATTTGTATCCTATAAAATCCTTTTAGATTTCCAATATATTTTTTTCTGCGATATAGGTCCAAATATTCATTATTTATATTGGAGGTCTTAAGCTCCCTATTCCAACATTTTTGTCTTCTTTTAATTCTAACAGATAATACAAAATATTTTACAACTTTTATTTGCGTACATACATACATAATTTTATTTTTAAATAGAAAAACTAAAAATACAGTATATCAAATCAATCTTCTAGATTAATTTCAAAATTTGTAGTTTTGGAAGAAGTATAATTAGAATGCCTTTTGATCGATTTATTTTTCCAAAGTTTCTTTAATTTTATTTCAGATATTTACATTTAAAATATAAAATAGTATTTGTGAGAACTTAGAGAACTCGCAAACATTCTTATATGTAATAAAACATGATTATTTTTTTCTAATAAGGAGTAAATCTATTTACGTTCTTTGTTTTCATTTTTAAACTTTCCGCAGAAGGACTACTTGTATTTGTTGTTGATGAATCCCATGATTGTGGAGTCCATAATGTTACAATACCCCTTTCGCCACCAGTTATTAAAATATTTGTTTTGGCATCAAATAAACTATCACGAACAATTTGTTTATTGCCTTCAAAATTCGCGTAGGGAGTTAATTCATCCTTTTGTACCAGACAAGAGCGTAAAGTTGAACTTAGTTAAAATAAGGTAATCACAGTTTAATATCACAGTACATACTTAGTAATAAAATTAATAAAAGTGTAATAAATCTTCATTTGCGGAAAGTAAATTTATATGTACATATATCATAGATAAAACTGAAACATTTTCATATACTGGTGTTTCAGTAATTTCAACACTCACCCTTCGTTTAAATTAGATCCAGTTATCAGAATCATATCATTGTTGGCCGTATTGTGACAACTTATTAAATTACAATTTAATTCGTTTCGACGTTTAATTGCTTTCGTAATGTTTAATTGGTCGAAATCCGCTACTATATCGCCATAAAAATTGTAGCATTTAAAAGAGTTTGTAGGTGTTATACAGGATATTAAATTCTCGCCTTTGGAAGATAGATGCCTAAAATTTTATAGGTATTTAATGGTGCGTGATGTATTTAATGTGACAAAAGTAGACTTTTTGGCAGTAATACCCATATTTAATACATTTATGTTTTAAATTACATATCGCTCATATACTACGTATATTTGATAAAATAAAATTTAGTTTAAGTTCAGATGAGAAACATTTATTAACACCTACTTTATATATCAGGTTTTATTTTTCAAATCCTGCTGTTTTACTCAAAACTACTTGATGATTTATGCCGTTCTTGTAGTAAACGAGCGATATGTTATACCTATGTATGTACAAAAGAAGATTCTGTAAACAAAACTTACCAGTCAACCTTGTATATTGTGTCTTCAGTATTAATTGTGTTCAAAATAGCATTTTCTTCATTTTTTTTAACATCATAAATATTAATTAAGCAATCAGCAGAACCCGTACACAATAGATATGGATTTTGTGGATTAAAACGTAGAGCAGTCACTTCATCATCATGACAATCCCAAAATCGAAATATTTCGTTAGTTGAGCGTATATCATAACACAATAAATTTACTTTATGGCTACGCTGTTCAGTTCCCATACAGAGTAAGCTGCTAGTAGAATTACGATCGAAACTTAGAATTTCCTTTGGATGTGATATATGTGAAATATTATTCTCAAAACGAGCAACTTCCATGCGTGTTCGTAAATCCAATAGACGTACGAAACCACGACAGCTACCGATAAGTAATAAATTTGGCGTTTCGTCCATAAAACGTATTCCGCATAAAGATTGGTCTGATTTGGGTTTACTCGACGGTGGCGGTTGAATAAATAATCCTTTTTCCGTATTTACCTCAAATAAACAAACTGATCCATCTGATAGGCCAGCTGCAATGCAAATAAGAGAGCTAAAACAAGTATATAGTGGTTTATTTGTTTCATTTTAAATAATTTCTTTATCCGAAAAAACTTACTCATCCTTTGCCAAGTGTAATACATAATTATCGCTATTTGTCACGCTTTGTTCATCATGTATTTTGTATTTATGATTGAATAATTTCTCCAATTCCTGTGAGCTACAAGTGTCATCATCTTCATAATCCTCACTTTTCTCTACAATATCAAGGTTCTCAGCACCTGCATCATGATCTAGGTTGGGAGATGATTGTGAATTATTTTCAGTTGCTAAAATAATAAATATTAACTTAATAAAAAGCTTTTTGTGTTTTATATTTTATTACAAACTTTTCATAACTATAGATAGTCAATAATTATTGTGGTAAAAACAAATTTTTACTATCAAAACAGAAAAAATATTTTGTTGTTGGTTTTTAACAATAACAAATACAGCACGTGTGATTAGAGATGACAAAAAATTTCAATAAAATATAGTGATGCCAATTGTGTACAATTTGCTACATAAACATACATATGTATACCCTGCAAGAAATGTCCCTACAAGAAATGAATGACCGAAACTAACACATACAAAATTATTTTACTAACACACTTGTAGATTTTTTTAGAGAATTCTATAAAAAAATGTATAATTCCATCAATAATGACAGCCAAATGACCGGTAAAATGACCGACACTGTACCAAACGTGTGGTATAAGGTTGCATTTGCATACGCAAGAGTGAAACAACTATATTTTGATTAATATTTTATTAAAATTTATATTTCCATCAACAATGACAGTCAAATGACCGATCAAATGACTGTCACTGTGTTTCAGAGTTGTATTTTTCGTCGTTATAAATTCATTATTTCTGCGAAAGCCAAAGTTCAAGAAGCGAAAAATTAAAAAATTTACAAAGTCTATAAATTATTAAAAATAAAGAGAATTATTATAAACTGAATTTAAAAAAAGTGCAGGAAGTAGAGCTGAAGATAAACACTTTGGAGTTTAATCAATCTATGGTAACATGAATACTTACTTTTGATTTTTATATTTCGATATTTATATGTATTTCTTTACAGACAACTTATTTCCACAAATTAAAAGGAGAATCAGAGAATTTAAGATTCTGCGAGGTATGTAAAATGGTGAAATGATTGCTAATTTATGTATATGCTTACTATATTAATAAAATTAAAAAAAATAGATATCTTAAAATATTAATAAATTGTGTTTTATTATAAATTGGTATAGCCGTCAGTTTTGACGGATATATTCATCAAGTATGATTAGTCAACAATGACCGATTAATACATAATTTTTTATTTGTTAACTGTGATGGATATATCCATCAAGCATGATCAGTCAATCGTGACTAATATTTATATCATCCTTGATTACTAATCATCAAAAGAGTGAGCAGCTCAAATATATGTGTTAAAATCGATATAATTCATAAGTGCGAGTGGGATGAAAGATCACATGTACACAAAAGTTTCCATCAAGTTTTTCATATTGCCCTTAAGAACTTGATAGAAACTTTGTTCTACGCAATGATCGATATTTCCTTCAGTAGTGTCAGTCAAATGACCGGTCAAATGACTGTCACTGTTCTTGTAGGGGTATGACCGAAACTAACACATACAAAATGATTTCACTAACACTCTTGCAACATTTTTTTTATAAAATTGCTAAAAAAAAAATACCCGTTAATAAAACAACCTTTTGATAAAACAGCAAACCCTAACAGCTGTTTTTGATTGTTGTGTGGTGAGTTTCTGTAAAAACGTAAACAAATGAAACAAAAACAAATTACTAGACATATTTATTTTGTGCTAAGAAAAATTTATGTATTTTAATAATGTTTTATAGCCAGTGCAAGTGTTCTTGGTGTACACCATCTACCCCAATAATAATCCCGGTTTCATTAGAATCAAGTATTTTTAAAACGACCATATATAATGTGCAATTCATTCTATATTCCATGACTGGTTGAAAGAGTCACGGAATCCACCGGAGATCAACCTAAAAAATGAAAAAGGGGTGGCTTCTTGTTCCGTTCTTGTTCCGTTCATATGGGACAAGATTCGAGCCTCATCGTATCAGTTCGCCAGATACCTCATTTGTGTATATTGCAGGGTCCTGGTACCCAACACAGCCTTATTTTAAACGGTCTCATAATAATACTTAGATCTTTTCTTCATTCTACGACTATGCAAGAATACAGCTATGACATATTAATGCTTTAAATGCAGCATGACTATCAACCTAAAATCTTACCAGAGACCGGCGAACAATGTGATTCCCTATTAGTTCCGTCACTTTCAAGATCGCTAAATCACCACTTGGAAGACACAACCCATCAGGGAGTCAAGGAACATTTTACACCGTTTGTAACACATTGAAATATTGGTCTAATATCCATAAAAGTATATGCTGGGATCTTATTACAGTCTAACATTGAGTTTGTTATTGAAAATGGACAATATCGGTATACGATAAACTCATCAGGGAGCCAAGGAACTTTTACACAGAAATATTGGTCTAAAATCCATAAAACTTTAGACTAGGATCTTAGCCAATATTTGCCAAAATATTTTTAGTTGATGGAGTTTATTATTGAGCTTCAATATTCCAGTATAGCGAAGAAGAACGACAAAAACAAGTTTTATAGGAACTAAAATCTTTTTGCCAAATTTTATGAGGATCAGGAAATTATTTTACAAGATTTATATGATCCAAAACCTTTCTGGGTTGGTTCAAAGTTGACCCTACCCCCATATAAGTTCCCCTTCAGAAAAAGATATTAACTCCAATAATTGTAATAAAAATACCAATATAGCAAAGAAATTCCACATAAAAAAGGAGTCAACATCGTTTTGTCAAATTTAAGGGGATCGGTCCATAATTTAACCTATCCCCGATATAAGGTCCACCTCGGGAAATTACTACCACTCATAACTGGCTTAAAAAAATAGCTATAAAATTCGACAACAACTTTTATATGAAACAAAATTTATCTGTTGAATTTTGTAAGGGTCGGTCCACAGTTGACCCTACCTAAAATCTCAAACAGATTATGCCATCCGATTTCTACACTTCCGACTTAAAGTTCTATATATGTTTTTATCGTGCAAAGATCTTCCGATAGCAGTTATATATAATTTTCTATATACGGATATAGTCAAATTTTTTGTAAAAAAAGTTTGTTGCTGTAGTACACACCCTAGAACGATGAAATCCACAAAACAAATTATGCCATCCGATTTGTATATTTCCAACTTAAAGTTCTATATAGGTTTTTATCGTGCACAAGATCGTCCGATAGCAGTTATATATAATTTTCTATATACTTCCATAATAAAATATTTTGTAAAAAAAAAATTGTTTGTTGTTGTAGTACACACCCTAGCACGATGAAATCTGGAAAAAAAATTTTTTTTATCTGATTTCTACACTTCCAACTTAAAGTTCCATGTAGGTTTTTATCGTGCACAAGATCGTCCGATAGCAGATATATATCAATTTATATATACTTCCATAATAACATTTTTCGTAAAAAAAAGTTTGTTGTTGTAGTACACACCCTAGAACAATGAAATCCGGAAAAAAATGTATGCCATCCGATTTCTACACTTCCAACTTAAATTCTATATAGGTCTTTATCGTGCACAAGATCGTCCGATAGCAGTTATATATCAATTTATATATACTTCCATAATAACATTTTTTGTAAAAAAAAGTTTGTTGTTGAAGTACACACCCTAGAACGATGAAATCCGGAAAAAACTGTTTGTCATCTGATTTCTACACTTCCAACTTAAAGTTCTATGTAGGCTTTTATCGTGCACAAGATCGTCCGATAGCAGTTATATATCAATTTATATATACTTCCATAATAACATTTTTTGTAAAAAAAAAGTTTGTTGTTGTAGTACACACCCTAGAACGATGAAATCTGGAAAAAATGTATGTCATCCGATTTCTACACTTCCAACTTAAAGTTCTATATAGGTTTTTATCGTGCACAAGATCGTCCGATAGCAGTTATATATCATTTTATATATACGGCTATAGTAACATTTTTTGTAAAAAAAAAGTTTGTTGTTGTAGTACACACCCTAGAACGATGAAATCTGGAAAAAAATGTATGTCATCCGATTTCTACACTTCCAACTTAAAGTTCTATATAGGTTTTTATCGTGCACAAGATCGTCCGATAGCAGTTATATAGCAATTTATATATACTTCCATAATAACATTTTTTGTAAAAAAAAGTTTGTTGTTGTAGTACACACCCTAGAACGATGAAATCCGGAAAAAAATGTATGCCATCCGATTTCTACACTTCCAACTTAAAGTTCTATATAGGTTTTTATCGTGCACAAGATCGTCCGATAGCAGTTATATATCATTTTATATATACGGCCATAGTAACATTTTTTGTAAAAAAAAAGTTTGTTGTTGTAGTACACACCCTAGAACGATGAAATCCAGAAAAAAATGTATGTCATCCGATTTCTACACTTCCAACTTAAAGTTCTATATAGGTTTTTATCGTGCACAAGATCGTCCGATAGCAGTTATATATCAATTTATATATACTTCCATAATAAAATTTTTTGTAAAAAAAAAGTTTGTTGTTGTAGTACACACCCTAGAACGATGAAATCCGGAAAAAAATGTATGCCATCCGATTTCTACACTTCCAACTTAAAGTTCTATATAGGTTTTTATCGTGCACAAGATCGTCCGATAGCAGTTATATATCATTTTATATATACGGCTATAGTAACATTTTTTGTAAAAAAAAAGTTTGTTGTTGTAGTACACACCCTAGAACGATGAAATCCGGAAAAAAATGTATGCCATCCGATTTCTACACTTCCAACTTAAAGTTCTATATAGGTTTTTATCGTGCACAAGATCGTCCGATAGCACTTATATATCATTTTATATATACGGCCATAATAACATTTTTTGTAAAAAAACAGTTTGTTGTTGTAGTACACACCCTAGAACGATGAAATCCGGAAAAAAATGTATGCCATCCGATTTCTACACTTCCAACTTAAAGTTCTATATAGGTTTTTATCATGCACAAGATCGTCCGATAGCAGTTATATATCAATTTATATATACTTCCATAATAACATTTTTTTTGTAAAAAAAAAGTTTGTTGTTGTAGTACACACCCTAGAACGATGAAATCCGGAAAAAAATGTATGTCATCCGATTTCTACACTTCCAGCTTAAAGTTCTATATAGGTTTTTATCGTGCACAAGATCGTCCGATAGCAGATATATATCAATTTATATATACTTCCATAATAACATTTTTTGTAAAAAAAAAGTTTGTTGTTGTAGTACACACCCTAGAACGATGAAATCCGGAAGAAAATGTATGCCATCCGATTTCTACACTTCCAACTTAAAGTTCTATATAGGTCTTTATCGTGCACAAGATCGTCCGATAGCAGTTA